AAATGTGGTACATATACACAACGGAGTACTATTTAACCACAAAAAAGAATGAGATTCAGTCATTTGCAACAACATGGATGTAACTGGAGGTCATATGTTACATAAAATAAGCCAGGCACAGAAGGAAAAACTTCATCTGTTCTGACTTATTTGTAAGAGCTAAAAATAAAAGCAATTGAACTCAGAGAGAGAGAGAGAGAGAGAGAGAGAGAGAGAGAGAAGAAGGATGGCTACTAGAGGCTGGGAAGGGTAGTGAGGGTGTGTGTGGGGAAGTGAAGAGTATTAATGGGTACAACAAATAGCTAGGAAGAATGAATAAGACATAGTATTTTCCAGCACAATAAGGTGACTGTAGTGAAAAATAATTTAATTGTACATTTAAAAATAATTAAAAGAATATAATTTAATTGTTTGTAACCCAAAAGATAAATGCTTGAAGGGATGGATATCCCATTTACCTGATGTGATTATTACATATTGCATGCCTGTATCAAAATATTCCATGTAACCCATAAATATATATACCTACTATGTACTCACAAAAATTAAAATTTAAAGTTAAAAAAATAAACAATTAAAATGGGGAAGAGATTTGAACACTTTACAAAGGAAGCTGTACAGATGATAAATAAGGACATGAAAAGATGCCCAATATTATTAGACATGTGGAAAAGGCAAAACCACAGTGGGATACCATGGTAAACACATTAGAATAACTTAAATTAAAAGGTTGACCATACCAAGTCTTGACAGGAAAGTGGAGCAAATGGAACTCTTACATAATGAAGTGAAGTGTAAAACAGTACAACTGCTTTTCAAAATATTTTGTCAGAGTTAAACATGTACCTATTATATGACCCAGCAATTCCAATCTTAGGTATTTACCCAAGAGAATGAAAGCATATGGCCATAGAAATACGTACATGAATACTTACAGCAATATTCACAATAGCCCCAAACTGGAAACAACCCAAATGTCTTTCAATGGGTGACTGAATAAACACATTATGGTATATCCATATAATGAAATGCTTCTGTAATAAAAGGAATGAGCTATTGATACATACAACAACATGGGTGCATCTCAAAATAATTGTACTAAGTGAAATATAGCAGGCACAAAAGCATACATACTGTATGATTTCATCTACAGAAAATTCTAGAAAATGTAAGCCTGACAGAAAGTAGAACCGTTGGCTGTGGTGGAGGGAGGTAATAGTGTAGGGTAGGGAAGACTGCAAAGAGACGCAAGGGAACTTTCTGAGGTGAGGGACATATTCTATATTTTGATTGGAATGGTGGTTATATGTGTGTATACATTTGTCAGGTTATTGAACTGTACACTTAAATGCATGCATTTTATTCTATGTAAATTTTACTTTGATAAAAGATATGAAAATAGAGAAGTTCAAAAAGCAGAACAAAAAACGCCCCAAATAAATGATATTATGCAGAGGTTGCAGACATTGCAATGACAAAGGTAAGGGTATGACTATGGGAAGAGGCACCTGAGAGATGATGAGGACTAAGATTCCTGGAGGAGGGAAAGTAAGGGATCTGAAGGGCCAGAGTGTGGGAAGAATCTGTGTAGAAAGTTTTCTTTCCCTGATAGTGAATGTGACAGAGAAAATGATGTTGTTGATTTTTGTGATGGCAGGGTGTGAAGAGGTATGGGAAGATGAAACCAACCTTAGCAACTGCATTTGTTTTGTAATAGAAGTCAGACTAAGGATCCAATCACAACTCGGTTTAGTGAGTGGAAACATGATTAACGGTGGGAGGCAGGAAGAAGAATGGAGTCTGATAATAGATACAGCAGGAAGGGTGGATCGCCTTTGGCAAAAGGAGAATCAAAACACTGAGGTGTGGGGGAAATGCAGTAAAGTTTTACGGGAAAATTGAAGGGTTTTATTTTCTGTTATGTTATGCTGATTTAAAGTGCCATCACATAAAATTTTCGGATATAAATTCACTAGCCTGATTGATGAATTATCAACCTCTTAAGTATCTTCAGCTGGCAAAGACAGGATGTGGTCATTCACCAAAACAATTTTTTTTTCTCTTTGTATTTGTGATCTAAGTTTTTAAAGTTGAAAAATAATAATGGCAACCATAGTTAACATTTATATAGTATTTACTACATTGCCAACTACTGTGCTTTATATACTTGTTTTAGTTAATCCTCACAAGTAGGATGATACTATGAGGTAGGCTCTGTTATTGTGCTTATTTTACAGGTGAGGAAACTGAGAGAGGCTGACTTGCTCAGGTATAGTCAGCTAATCAAGAGTTGATGACATGTATCCTCTTCTCACTTAGCAAATTCAGGACTAGATCCTCCAGACACAATATTCTTAAATACTGCCTTCTCTCATTTAACAGTTTTGTCGAATTTTTACATTAATCAGTCTTTGTGAGTATTTATAATAGCTATAAGACACTTTGAAATGATCTGAACACTCAGAGAAGAGTATCATCTCTTTCCTCTTTCCCCCATACATTTTAAAAAGTTTTTGACAAAACTGTTACATTCAGAATTTTGGCCCAAATGTTAGATTCCATAATTTTATGTACAAATCTACTATAACTTTAGAGTCTTTGGTACAGAATGAAAACATTCCATTTAACAACAAACAACAAATCATTAAGATTATTTCATCTCTGCACTTACAGAAAATAAAATGTGTGTTATGAAATCCTTTGTTCTTAGTTATTGAATAGAAACCTTGCTCAAATCATTCAGAACTGAAAAACAATGTTTTTATTGACTACATGGAACACATAGATGTTGTAATATAGATTCTTAATTGTGACAGGAGAATGCTTAATCTCTTGTAGCAATGCCTTTTAAAAATTACTCATTAGCAGTTTTAGTCCTTCTCAATCCCTATTTCCCCTCCCAGTATCTTTCATGAAACTTCTAGAGATCTGTGTAATGCAGCTTAAAACAAAACAAAACCTGGGTCAGATAATATTCAAGGTTCTTGAATATTCTTCCCGAAAATCTGTAATTTGTATCAATGTCATTAGATAAGCTTACATTGAAAGTACTCCATCTGATAAAATTCTGGAATATTTTATTAAAAAGTTCACACTACTGAAACCAATTAAATAATATTAGACATATCTGTTTTAAAAGATTGGAATTCTAATTGTGCCATTCACTAGCTATCTGACCTTGGATAAAGTTACTTAGCTGCTCTTTGCTTTAATTTCTGTATTCATAAAAGAGGATTAATAATAAACCACTCAGCACAGTGCCTACCACATAGTAAGTACTCAATAAATGATTGGTTACTTTTAACTTAAAGTTATTATTTAATTCAACATTTTCTCATCCATGTGTGACTTGCTAAACTTTCCTATCCAGATTACCACTCAAATATGAAAAGTCTGTGGAGATAAACACATAGGTCAATGCCAACAATGGATTTAAAGGGTCTAATTGAGTTGAATTAACAGTTCGGACAAAGGCAACACTTTAGTTACCCTGTGAAGAGACATTACTTGTGATTTGGAATTGGTAAATGTAAAAAGCCACTTAGGAAATTACAGCTCACTTATATCCTGTCTGAGCAGTTACATGATTTGCTACAATCCAGAGATAGAAGTAGCACTTATGCCCAACAGTTTAGGAAACACTTAATTGGATTACCTAGCACTGCAGGAATGCAAGGCTCTTTTTCCTATAATTTTGAAAAGACAGTTTGATGATGTCCTTGGTGTATGTATGTGACGAGTTGTTAAATAATCTAAATGGCTGTAAAAGTGTTACTTTTGCCAATAGGTGTTTAACTTAACATTTGGCAAGCATATCTTATTTTGTGTCTTTGTAAGTCATCAGGAAGCTGTATAGTTTTAGAGGCAAGTTACTTAAACTTTATTGCCCTAGTTTCTCTCTCTAGATATGATGAGAACAATATTATAACACTGTAATAACTAAACATTGTAATAAAGTAGTAATACCTACTACTATCACTACTGCTACTGATGATGCTAGTACTATACAAGTACTATTAATAACAGCATATCTCCTAAGTTGTTAGGACTAAATTAGGTAACATATGTAAAGTGTTTAGAAAAGAGCCAGGCACAATGTGAGTTTGTTATTGTTATTATCCTGAATACTTCCAACAGTCAGTGAAAATAGAGGGAAAAGCTGGAGGGAAAAGCTAAACAGTTAATATAAGCAAGGATTTAGTAAACTATTTAATTTCTACTGGGAATAACCCATATAAATTTTTCTTTCTTGATGAGCTAATTTGGAAACGCATGTTCCTTTCTTTTGATTTAGGGGTTTTCCAAAGTGCTTTTCTGAAAAGTTATGTTAAAAAAAAAAAAAAAAAAAAAACCTCCAAGGCAGACCAAAAAGAAGAAGCAGAGCATTCTAAAATGTACCCCTCCTCACATAACAGGCACAGAGACTCCTGTTTTTCTCCCACAGGATCCATGCGATCCTGCTGTGATGTTTGTTCATTGTAGAAGTTTAGAAAGTTCTGTCTGGGCTATGTGTAGGAATGGAGTTCTCAGGCCATTCTTGGCCCTCTCCTCCACCCAGCCAGGCCTTCCAAAACCTATCTCATAAAACACAGATTTTGAGACTTGGAGAGCCCTTAAGGATCATCTTGTCATGCTCCTTCATTGTGCAGATGGAGAAACAAAGGTCTGGAAAGAGGGAGGGATTTTTATAAGGTTATATAGAAAGCCATTGAGAATATAATTTAGTTGCTCACTACAAACCAGTCTAGTGCTCTTCCACCATATCACCTTGCCTTTTTCAGAAGAGATCTGTTTTCCTGTTGTCATCTAATAACAGTCACACACCCAGGCATTCTTGTAGAACTCAGCAGGAAAATAACCACAACATTCTTTCCTATCTCTAGCCCAAACGTGGAGAATTTTTAAAGAATAAATTAGTTTTTGACACTGAAGTGTCCACTGGACTTCAGTGTCAAAAACTAATGTATTCTTCATGCAGTTATTATAGCTGGAAAACTTACCTTCACAAATAGCTCAATCTCAGGGTCCACTAGAGTGCTGGGCCTCAGGCCTGACATCTTTGTCTTTATAGCCAGTTGTCAGCCTCCTGCCTCCTGTAAAGTCCACAACACTTTTAGACTCTTTTCTCAATTTTATCCAAAAACTCAAGTAATGTTGGTGCTTTAAGAAGAGAGTCTAGCTTGTAGTGAGCTGAGTCAGACCTGGAGTCAGTCTCTTCTCTCAAGAGGTATCACAGAAAATTCTAGATGCTTAAGTGCAGCTCTTGAATTAGTTTTCCTTCTTCCTCCTGACTTAACATTTGAATCAAGGAGGAGCCAAAGGGGTGTGTATCAACTGGCTGGCTAGAAGGGTGGGGGTGTTTCCAGAGAGGCTTCAATGCTATGAGTCAGCATAGGAGAAACACATGCACACAAACACACATGCAGTGCTGGCTTCTATATATCAAGCAGACCAGATGTTCTCTAGAGCCTCCCTTTGAGTCCTGGGCTCCATGCCCAGAAAAAGGCCTCTTATTGGTGTTCCTGTAACTTGAAAGCACTTCCAGGAAAAGGGCTAGAAATGATTTGGATTTTTATTATTGAAAAGGATGTTTATCCAATGATACTGTCTAAAACCGGGTTAAAAATTGTAATTCATTAAATGTTCCCACACCCAATTCTACTGCTCACACAGCCAGATTTCTGTTCTGGGTTGCAAATTTCACTTCTCTCTACAACCAGAGAATGTTCACTGGGGTGGTTGAGTCTGGGGGCTTGTTTAGTGTGCTCCACCTAGTTCTTTATTTCTTGGAAGCTAGGACTGGAACAGATCACTTCCTTGTTTTGGCGTCTATACCAGGAACCATGATTAGTTCTGTATTTCTGCTTCTCAACCCTGGGAACAGCACCAAAATCAGTCGAATGGATCACTCTGTGTCTGCAAGGTTTCTGGCAGCTGTATTTTCTGACTCCAGGGCTGGGAGGGGGACCCCTGGATTAATAAACGTATTTGGTGGGAGGAGTCTGTTCCTGCTTAGAGCCAAACTGAACATAGATCCATCAGCTGGGCACCACTGTAATCCCCTTTCTATAACCCTAAGCATTCCCCATGCTCATATGGGCTGTACATACACCTGCCATTGCCATGTGTAAAAATTTACAGGGTAAGAGGCTCTCGAAAAAAACCTAGCCTGCTTCTTACCTGTAGGATCTAGGGAAGGAGTGGCTGATGTAAAGTTGAATATTCTTCTGGATGAGGGAAGGACTTCATGATTTCCCAAATAGTTTGAAAAGTGAGAAGAAAATTGTGCTGGACATCTGCTGAACTAACCTAAGAGTGGGTTTAGGACTGGCTATTGGACAGGACCTGGTGTCTGCCTTGTTTAGCTATATTTTTACTCTATTCATCATGCTCTATTCGTTCACTCTAAAGGCAATCAATGAATGCCAACTCTGTGTCAGGACCTTGATCCATTCACTGAGATTGACAGCACGGGAGGACAGCCAGTTTGTGAGGACAAGAATTCAACTTTAAGCATGCTCAGTCTGAGGCCTCCTCACTTTAAGCATGCACAGTCTGTGCCTTTTCCCACTCCCTATATCTAACTGCTACAAAATCTTATCATTTCTACATCCTGAATATTAAAAAATCCATCCACTTCTCTCTGCTTCTATGGTTACTCCAAATTTCAAGCCAGAAACATTCTTTTTTAATTGATTTAAACATTTTTATTTTAAAAGGCCAAATGGTTGCTTGACCCTTGGCTCTCATGGGAAAACCACAACCCTTACCATCACCACCACCACCACAGCAAAAACAACAAACAGTCTAATGACCTCTGTATGATCCCTAATAAATTGTCAAAGTAAAGAGATAAACGTTCTCTTTTTTTCCTGATGCTCAGAGTTTTAAAATATTGTATTTAGGATAATTTACATGCCATAAAATTCATGTATTTAAAGTGATTTTATAAATTTATTGGGTGGTGCAACCACCATTATAATCTAATTTTAGAACATTTGTGTCACATCAATGGCATCTTTCTTACCCATTTGCAACCAATGTTCATTACAAATCCCAGCATCAGGAAACCACTAATCTACTTTCTGTGCTTATGTATTTGCCTATTCTAGACATTTCATATAAATGTTATGTTCATTTTTGCTTTGCTATAAGGAAATACTTGAGGCTGAGTGATTTATAAAGAAAAGAGGTTTAGTTGGCTCAAGATTCTGCAGGCTGTACAAAAAGCACGGTGCGGTGCTACCATCTGCTCCTGGTGAGAGCCTCAGGAAGCTTCCAATCATGGCAGAAGGCAGAGTGAGAGCAGGCATCTCACATGATGCAAGTAGGAGGAAGAGAGAAAAAGGTGGGGGGACATGCCACATTCTTTTAGATAACCAACTCTTGTATGAATTCAGAGGGAGAACTCACTCATTACTATGAAGGTGGCACCAAGCAACCCATGAGGGACCTGCCCCCATGATGAAAACACCTCCCACCAGGCCCTACCTCCACCATTGGGAAATACATTTCAACATGAGATTTGCAGGGGACAAACATCCAAACCATATCAATGTAATCATGAAATATGTGGTCTTAGTCACAAAAAGACAAGTCCTTTATGATTCCACTTATATGAGGCATCTGAAAGTAGCCAAAATCATAGAAAGTAAAATGGTATTTGCCAGGGGTTGAGGGCAGGAAGAATAGGGAGTACAGTTTCAGTTTTGCAAGATAAGGAGAATTCTAGAGATGGATAGTGGTGATGGTTGCACAACACTACGAATGTCCTTAATGCCACTGAACTCTACACTTAAATATGGTTCAAGATGATACATTTTCTTATGAAGAAGTAAGAAAAAAGTCCACAGAGGGTGCAATAAGTATTTGACTGGGGCAGATATCTCTGCGGAATTGAAGTTTTTAGGATGGCTCCATTTTTAAAAGTAAAGTTTGTAATAAAAAAAGAAATATGTGGCCTTTTGTGTCTAGGTTCTTATTCCTATTGTAACATTGCAACATATCATCCATGTTGCAGCATGATACTTCATTCATTTTCATGACTGACTCATATTCCATTGCATGGATCGACCACATTTTGTTTATGCATTCATCATTTGATGGGTATATGGGTACTTTCCACCTTTTGGCTACTGTGAATAGTACTGCTATAAACATTTGTGTACAAGTTTTTTGTTGAATATCTGTTTTAAGTTCTTTTGGCAAAATACCTAGAAGTGGAATTAGTGAGTCATATGGTAATTCTATGTTTAACTTATTGAGGAAACTCCAAAGTTATTTCACAGCAGCTGTAACGTTTTGCATTCCCAACAGTAGTGTATGAGGGTCCTGATCTCTCCACATCGTCACCAAAACTTGTTTGCTATTTGCTTTGTTTGTTTATAATACCTATTCCAGTGGCTGTGAAGTGGTAGCTTATGGTGACTTTTTTTTTCATTTTAAAATCGGATTTAGAGGATACAAATGCAGATTTCTTTCATGCATATATTGCATAGTGGTGAAGTCTGGGCTTTTAAGTGTACCCATCACCCGAATAGTGAACACTGTACCCAATAGGTAATTTTTCAACCTTTGTTAACCTCCCACCCCTCCACCTTTTATAGTCTCCAATATCTATTATTCTACTCTATATGTCCATGTGTACCCATTGTTAAGCTCTCACTTACAAGCGAGAATATGTGATATTTGACTTTCTGTTTCTGAATTATTTTACTTAAGATAATGGACTCCAGCTCCATTCATGTTACTGTAGAACACATGACTTCATTATTATTTATGGCTGCATAGTATTTCATGTATATGTAAAATGTTGATGGGTAGATGTCCAGTAGCAGGATTGCTGGATCAAATGGTAGTTCTATTTTTAGTTCTTTGAGAAGTCTCCATACTGCTTTCCATAAATGTTGTGATAATTTACAGTCCCACTAACAGTGCATAAGCATTACACTTTTCTCCACATTCTCATCAACATCTGTTGTTTTTTCAATTTTTACGTAATAGCCATTCTGACTAGTGTAAGAAAGTATTGTGTATTTTTAATTTGTGTTTCTCTGATAATTAGTGATATTGAGCATCTTTTATATATTTGTTGGCCACTTGTATTTCTTTAAAAAAATACCTATTCACGCTCTTTGCCTACTTTTTTTTCCCTTTTATTTATTTTATTGCATTTTAGGTTTTGGGGTACATGTGAAGAACATGCAAGATTGTTGCATAGGT